ATTACTAATGTAATTATTTTATTTAACCTACTGTCCATATTCAAACATTGTTAATGACCCAATAACATGCAGTGGAATATTTTTTCCCTCCAGTTCAGAACCCAGTCAAGATCTGGATGTAGCTGGTCCGTCTCTCCAGTCTCCTGGGTCTTTCTCTTTCATGACATGGGCATTTTTGAATAATACAATCCCTTACATGAGATTTGTGGTTTTCTGCTGCTTCCTCATAATTAGATTCACTCCTGGAAAGAACATCCTGGAGACAAAGGTGCATCTTTCTTTCTAGAGCACATGTGTCAAACACAAAGCCCGCGGGCCAAATCCGTCCCGCCAGGCCTTGCAGTGTGGCCCACACCGCGCTGTCATCACTGCACTCCACTGCGTTTCCATCACAATGACAGTTTATGACTGTTCAGTAAACCATTCGGCCCGCGATTTAGGCTGGATTTTAGATTTTGGCCCCTTCTCTGATTGAGTTCGACACCCCTATTCTAGAGCATCACCCCTGAAGGTACCATAACCACGTGGTCTCAATGATGTTAACTTTGATCAAGGTAAAGTCAGTCAATGTATTATTGGGTTTCTCCACTGTATAGTTTCTCCACTTGCTAATTATAAACCATCTATGGGGAGTAACTACAGATGAGGTTTACTGATCCAGTCCTTACTGGGCTCATTGCAAAGTTATGATTTTCCTAACCCAGCCTCTTCTCTATATTTACCAGTCAGTATTCAGCATTCTACCACCCACCAAACCCCTCCCTCTCTCCCATTTGTTTCTCTATGTTTTTTATTCTATACATAATATCTTATAATTATATAAATTATTCTGTATATGTTCCAAACTTCTCAGAAGTATGGAATCATAGGTTCTTACTTTTTCAAAGTTCATACTTCATTCCTGTCCATATATATTTTGCTCAAACTGGTCCCAAATGTGGCCAGTGGGAGCCCTTCAAGCTGGACCATATGTAAAAGGAGATAATTTTTAAGTACATTTGCAAGGTCCTAGTTGTTTGGAAGGTGCCTCTTCTCGTTATAGTTTGCCTTAAGGGAGAAATGAGTCTTCCCCCACGTCACAGTCAGTGTAGGTTGCTATAACAAAACAAAAACAAACAAACAAAAAAACAAAAAAACATAGACTGGGTGACTTAACCAGCAAATATTTATTTTTCACAGTTCTGGAGGCTGGAGATCCAAGGTCAAGGTGCTGCTAGATTCAGTGTCTGGTGAGAACTCTCTTGCTGGTTTGCAAGAACTCTCTTGCCACCTTCCCACTGTGAAGAAGGGCTCTGATCTGTTTTCTTATTACAAGGGCACTAATACCATCATGGGCTCCAACCTCATGGCCTCTTCTAACCCTAATCAGGGCTTTAACATATGAATTTGGGAGGATACAGACTTGCAATCTATAGCGCCCCACTTTGAGTCTCTGGACAGGTAGTGGCCATCTAATTGACCAATCCACAGTTCTGCAAAACTCCTGACTACCTCCTCTGGGACAACGAAATCAGCCTGCAGAGTCTGAGCATGTCCAGAACCTGAGCCCAACAGACCCTCCTCAGCCAGCCCTACCCAGGGAAACCACTGGCCAAGAGACACCAACCAGCACTTTGTCTCTGAAGACAGCTAAACTGATTCCTCATTAAGGCATACTTATGTTTCAGAATATGAGCATGTGACCTGGTAAGCCCAAGAATCATGCAAAAGGGACATAGTATAAAATAGTCTATGATGTGTGAAGTAGCCCTGTTCAAAAAATCATGTCTAGAGACTCCAGCTTATTCAAACCCTGGTTTCAACCAGCTTAAGATGTCTAGTAATGTGAGAGGCCTTGAAGCTGGAACAAGCAAGATTTCACACATGTCAGATCACAGAGGGCCTCCACATGCTGCCAAGGTCTAATCCTTGACCTTGAAATAGCACAGGTAAAAGGACAGCACTCGCTGTGTATTAAGTAGACAAGATAAAGCAAACAGCAAACTCAGAATCCGTGAACAACTTTCAACCACACACTAACTGACCTGAGGCATGTAGCAATAAGGGGGGAAGAATTATGTCTGGAGTAGAAGATCTAGAAAGAGGAATCTTATCTGTTCCCCAAGCAATGATTCTACCACACCTCCCACTACCCTGGAAACTAAATAGCAAATTCAATAATAGTGCACAACAGCCTTTAAAGCTATATAAGGGAATACAATAATCAAATATTATAATGGCTAAAATAATATAACAAGCTTATTTGTTGAGCACTGACAGATGGTTTATTTATGCCCAATGAACAGATGAACTAAAACTGAACTCAAAGACATCTTATTGTGTGTTTCCTATAGGAATAAAACTGAAACAACTAATGAGAGGGAAGGCACACTTCTGGAATGAAGTTGTGGAACAAATGTATTAAGTAGAAGAAAAGTCTCTGAATTCAATTATATTGAACAAATATATTTTCATTGGCATACAAAGACATTACTATTTTCTTTAACAATAAAACTTCATATCAGACTTTTCCTATGAGATAATGAACTATTTCTCTTCACTCCCAGGTGATGCCCATAGGGCCTGCCTCCATTTCTTCATCACTCATCTTCTCTTGAATGGTCCAATGCACTCATCTGATGTGTCAGCAGCATTCAACTCTCCTGGCTCTCTCCCTCCTCCCCAAGAGCTAGCTTCTAGGTCTGACTGCATCCTCTGGTCCTCCTCCCCTCCACTGGATGTTCTTCTATGTCTTCTTTTCTGGCTATCTACAGGGACCCTCTCTGTCCACATTTGCTCCAAGAGGGATCTCCTCCATTTCATGCCTATACCTACAAGCTTCTATATGCTGCAGAGTTCCCAGCTCTTACCTCTAGCCATGACTTGTCAGTTGAACTCCAGGTGCACACTGTAGCATTCTACTCATTATTTCTACTTGGGATACCCAGTACCCAACTTAAAATTAATACTTCTGAAATGGAATACCTGATCTCCTCCTCACAAAGCCTACTCCACCAGCTGCCTCACCGACTCTATACTTCCTTGGGTCAGGAATCCTGGATTCTGTTATTTCTCTCTCATTCAATTCTATTTCTTCAGGAAATGTGCCTTCAACGTGTAGCCAGAATCTAATGTCTTCTCATATCCTTTCTTTTTCTGAGCCATATCCACTTAATAATTTCCAAAGTCTTCTACTTTCTACCCATACCCCCTACATTTTATTAACAATTCAATGTTCTGTTTGATTCTGGTTACATCACTTCTTAGAGCAAGAAGTGGCCCTCCACCCACAATAAAATGACCTCATTGGCCTCCAAGGCCCTAAATGACCTGCTCTGCATATCCCTCTGACCTGCTCCCACTCCTCCCTCCTTCTGACAGATGTTCCACTCCAGCCCCATTGACTCTGCATCATCAGAGGACACACCAAGAATGTGTCTACCTCAGAGCCCCTGCCCTTCCTATACCCACTGCCTGGCATAATTACCCTCAGATATTTCCATAACTCATTTCTGATCTTCAAAGATTTCTCAAATATCACCTCCTCACTTCTATCTTGACTTAAAATTTCAACTCGTCATATACTCCCCTAACTGCTGATCCCTCTTACCTCCTTTATTTTTCATCTATCAAGTATCACTTTCTAGCATACTTTATATCTACTTAAGAACATTTGTCTTCACCACCCATCTCTCACCCTATAGGGCAGCTCCATGAGGGTAGAAACTTTGGCTTTTTTGTTTCTGCCCTTAGGTTTCAGAACACATAATGGGTGACACATAGTGTACGCCCAATAAATGTATTTTGAGTGAGTGAACACAGATCTATACAACCTTGAAGAAAAGTGGACAGAATAAGGATAAACATTTAGATCCTGAGGCTGAGAGCAGACATGTTCAAATCAGTACATCCTAAAAATATTATGATGATAAAGACCATAAGTAAGTGAAATAGATAGTCAGCAAGGCAGAACAAGATGTCCTGAAGTGAGCTCCACTTGGGGCCAGGTGTAGAGGACACTAGTAAAGTCCAAGGTTATAGTACATAAAGTGTCACACTATGGCTCCAAAGAGCATCTAAGTATGGCAAACACCAATGTTTTTCTTATTTCTTCTGCAGAAGTGCAGGTAACAGATAGTGTGGTTGCACATCCAAGTCATCTTATATACTGAGTGGCCAGATTATTATGATCTCTGAATGTATAATAATCTGGACCCTCAGTGTATATCCTATGTAATAAAAGGCTAATATGCAAATTGTCCCTCAACCAGGAGTTCGACCAACAAACAGGCAGGCTGGCCAAAGACCCATGTCCCCTCCCCCTGGCCAGGCTGGCCAGACCTCACCCATGCACGGATTCATGCACCGGGCCTCTAATACACACACACACACACACACACACACACACACACACACACACACACGAGTGGCCAGCTTATTATGCATTCAGAGATCATAATAATCTGACCACTCAGTGTATATTCCACCCATTGGCATTTCCTTTTGGGGCACTCTTGCATGGGTAAATTAAAATCTTTCTGTTGGTAACCATGTGCCTTGGCATTTGGGAACAAAGCAATTGTGGTTACCAGCTGCAATGTTGCTCTCTAGCCCAGCCATGGAATGAGGAGAGACAGGGGTTAACAATGACATTCTCAGAAGCTACAGCATCTCAAGGTATGTCCCTTAATCCACCACTCCAGGAATCACAAAAGGGCTTTAAAATTTCTCTTCCCATTATGTGAATCATCACAGAACAAAATGATCCAATGCTTGGTATACTTGGTATAGAATATTTTAAAAACAAAATTAAATAAAGAAAGAAATGCTAATCAAAATAAATGCAGGGAACAGTGAAACATCATAAAATGTTCAGCCCAATCTCTCCCCTGGTGCAAAGTCTGGTTCTAATGAATCTCTAAACAGTACCCAATCATTGGCAGGGTTTGTTTTTCCTGGCTTCCCAGAGAATCCATTTCAGTAAAACAAAGGAAACAAGCTTTTTTCTATGTCAAAAAAAGGAAAACTGAATGTACTGGAAACTCTCCCTCTGTCCTTCCTGACCCACAATCCACATGACCCCCACTCCACCGCCCCTGTTCTGTGCCCCAGAAGACCAAATCTGGCTCCCAGGGCCTTTGGATACCAGGTGGATTTGGCCAACAACAGGAGGCTAAAGGGCAGGAGGAGAGAGAGCAGGGTACTTTTTCCCCTAGTTGTCTCCTGGCCCACTGTTCGTGTCAAGTGTCCCCTCCACTGCACACAGAGTGGGGGTGGCCCTGACCTCTGTTGCCCCTTCAGGCAAAGGGATGGCAATGACCCCTCACTATAGCTAGTCTCTGGAGGTCACCATTTTTTTTCTTGGTTCCCTCATCCTGACCACTTCTTGATAAATAGACCCTTCATGAAACTATCTCTGGTCACTCTTGAGCATATTATCCTTTGCTTCCCAGACCCTGGCTAAAGGAAGAATTCATGTTCCAAGAAGAAAACCAGATAGAGGTGGAAGTACTGCTATGGCACTGGCAGCCATGCCTGCCTCTCCCAAGGCAGTGGTCAGGAAGGGGCAGGGCTCTGGAGGAGACTGGCCATCAGCTCTGAAAATGGACAGGGGCTGTTCACTGAGGTCAGTGCTCAGGGTTGCAAGTATGGGTTCCTTCTCTTTTTATGGGGTGATAGCTCTTTGACCAAAAGGCCAACTAAGTTATTTTGAGAATGCAAGAGAGTAAGAGAGGAGTAAGAATGAGGTGTCATCTCAGAATAAACGTTCCACCTTCCATTCACCTCCATGAGCTGTCATAACAGAGGAAAGCTGTGCTTCTCCAATGTCAACTGCCAGGGTGAACATTGAAAAGTGAACATACCGGGATGATTACCTCACTGAACAAAAGTCTGACACATCACCCAAGACAATATGTGTCACAATATTAATGTAAACATCCGATGTGTTAAGCTCTTAAAAACAAACAAACAAAAAAAAAATACACACGATATATTATAATTGCCTTTCCCCCAGTTCTAGCTATATAGTTGGCATTTTATAGACATAGCCTAAAGACATCTCATTAATGAATCAACAATCTGATTTTCTCTGATTAAATGGATGGGTAAAAATGTCAAACCAGCATGGTACGGAGTCAGAAAAGGGTGATGAGCAATGTAGCCATGGCCACAGAGCATGTGACCAAGAGGAGTTGTGAACTCAGAGCTTGTGAGACTGTAACACCTTTTGGTAGGAATCCAACACAGCTGTTTTTTTTTAAAAGCAAAACTTCCCACCCATCAATAAGAGCAGTGAAAATGCCAAAGGGTTTTTAACTTAGACCCAATAATATGTTTGCAGCCTAATCTCACTGCAGATATCAGAAAAATATTAAAACTAAAAACAATTTCAAATTGATCTGAGTGGTATGTTAGAACCACAAAAAGCAGCATTCTGGCTAATTTTCTTGTTCTAATGAGGGAAAAGGGCAGTCAAATTTGCCCTCTGACATCCATTTGTAACTTATCATATGCCACAGCAGACATCCAGGAGATTTCAAATGACTGAAATAAGAGGAATTATTTAGCAAAACCGGTTTGGCTCAATGGATAGAGTGTCGGCTTAGGGACTGAAAGGTCCTGGCTTCGATTCCGGTCAAGGGCATGTACCTTGGTTGTGGGCATATCCCCAGTAGGGGGTGTGCAAGAGGCAGCTGATCGATGACTCTCTCTCATCGATGTTTCTAACTCTCTCTCTCTCTCTCTCTCTCGCCCTTCCTCTCTGTACAAAATCAATAAAATATATTTTTTTTAAAAGAGGAATTATTTAGTGGCTTAGGGACAGCATTTTTTATTCTGAAGTATCCCAACACCAGATCATCACAGCTACCAAATATGTTCAATAATCACAACCAATGCTTTCTGAGTTTAATCCTGCATCAGTCGTACTAGGAGCTTACTGTGCCTGAACTCATCTGCCTCTCATTGACCTTGAAAGGCATTTTTTCTTCTCTATGACAAACTAGAAATCAGATATTCTTAATTTAGTAGACTTGTTTAAAATGCTAATAAAGGTATTGGTAATAATGTCAATTAAATGGTTTGTAGAGCTACAAAATTTTTTTTCTTAGAACAAAGAAGAGCAGCAAAAAGGAAAATAAATTAAAAATAATGAGGATAGTTTAAGGGAATTTGGGACAACATTAAGCATAACAATACCTGCATCATAGGGGAACCAGAAAGAAAAGAAGGAGAGCAAGAAATCAAGAACCTATCTGAAAAAATAATGAAAACATCCCTAACCTGGTGAAGGGAAAAGACACACAAGTACAGGAAGTGCAGAGAGTCCCAAACAAGATGAACACAAAGAGGCCCACACCAGGACATATCATAATTAAGATGCAAAAGGTTAAAGACAGGGAGAATCTTAAAAGCAGCAAGAGAAAAATAGTTACTTACAAGGAAACTCCCATAAGCCTGATGTCTGATATCTTAACAGAAACATTTCAGGCCAGAAAAGATTGGCATAAATATTCAAAGTGATAAAAAGCTAATACCTACAATCAATACTATTTTACCCAGCAAAGCTATCATTTATAATTGAGGGATATATAAAAAGCTTCTCAGACAAGGAAAAGCTAAAGAATTCATTACCACCAAACCAGTATTGCAAGAAACAAAAGAAAAAATAAACAAATGGGACTGATGCAAGCTAAAAAGATTTTACACAACAAAGGAAATCATCAATAAAATGAAAAGGCAACCTACTGAATGGGAGAACATATTTGTTGATACATCTGATAAGGACTTAATAGGATGTAGATGAGAATAAAGGGGGGATAAACGGTGATGAAAGGAAACTTGACTTGGGGTGGTAAGTACAATATACAGGTGATGATATTAGAATTGTACACCTGAAACCTATGAAATTATATTTTCCAATGTCACCACAATAAGTTTAAGAAAAGAAGAACTGAGCAGAGGAAAGGAGCAATTTTCCAGCTAATACCAAATCTTCAGCCATCTTGGAAAATGGGCACCAACTTTTAGTTTCTCTCAGGGATAAATGTGGCTTCCAACACATCTTGTACCATAAAACGTGTGACTGGTAGTAAAAGACCCCCTTACGCCTCAAACTCCATACTAGCCTCCTGGTGAACCTGCTAGATATGGTATATACAGTGTAAGAGCCAACTGCCATGCTAAATGGCAGGCTGAAGACACTGCTGGCCCCATGATGTATGGTGGCCTGAATGCATAGATCTGGTCCTACTAATTCCATGAGCCTGACCCCATTGCTTCTTGAGGTACACTGACCAAAGAAGTTCTTAAATATAAATTAAATTATCAAGTTTTCCAGAAATAACAACCCTAAGTGAAACCTCCATGTCCTAGGAGAAGTCCAGAACAATTTCATGCTCAGTCATATAAAGACTCATGTTTCACAGACCAGCTTATAGTATAACCACAAGTTAGCACACTTACAGCCAAACTTGGCTCCGGGTCATTCTGTTTACAATGCTCTTCTCAATACTTTATAAGCTTAAAGAATAAAGACGATTATATTGCTCAAAAAAAAAAAAATGCCCTTCACCCAAAATAGGTTTCTTTATGCCCCAGTGTTTTTTGCATCTCACTGTCCTTTGATCAGTTCTAGCTGATGAGGAGAAGGCTCACCTGAGTTTGTTGACTTCCACTCAGGGCTGCTGGCATGAGGATGGCACCTTTTGTGTGTGCTAAGTGGACACAAAGGAGCACCACATTTTTCAGACGAATGTTCATTAATCACAAGGGAAAGTTCTAATGATCTAGCCATGGCCGATTTTACTCAGTGGTTAGAGCATCGGCCCAAGGACTGAAGGGTCACAGGTTTGTTTCCGGTCAAGGGCATGTACCTGCATTGCAGGCTTGATCTCAGGCAGCCCCAGTCCGGGTGCATATGGGAGGCAATTAATTGATGTGTCTCACATCCATGTTTCTCTCTGTGTCTCTCCCCCTCCTTTCTACTCTCTCTAAAAATCAATGGGAGCCCTAGCTGGTTTGGCTCAGTGAATAGAGCCACAGACTGTGGACTGAAGGGTCCTGGGTTTGATTCCAGTCAAGGGCAAGTGCCTGGGTTGCAGCCTTAATCCCCAGTAGGGGGTGTGCTGGAGGCAGTCAATCAATGATTCTCTTTCATCATTGATGTTTCTATTTCTCTCTCCCTTTCCCTTCCTCTCTGAAATCTATAGATAGATAGATAGATAGATAGAGAGAGAGATAGAGAGATAGATAGATGGAGGATAGATAGATAGATAGATAGATAGATAGAGATATGTTAGATAAAATTCAAAAATATATATCCTTGGGAGAGGATTAGCAAAGAGAGAGAAAGAGAGAGAGAGATAGAAATTGTTATAGTCTAACTGGATTTTAAAGAAAAGGTAAGTGCAAGGTAGAGAGAAATCCCAGGTCTTTGAAAGCCTAAAATATCCCAATAAGAAAAAACAAGGCAAGAACAGTCTGGAAAATTATTAGTGAATATGTCAGCTTGAATGGGCTCTCCTGTCCAAAACTGGGACAATTTGAGCATCAATAACAACAATAATGATTAATTATCAAAAAGTATAAAAAGGTATCCATAGTAATACAAAAAGGGGAGGGCTCAGTTTTAGAGAGGAATGCCAGCCAATCGAGAAATGATTGAATGGGAAAATCACCATTTTGCAAACCCTGACATAAAACTCATCTCGGAAAGGATGATTCACAGATGCTAAAGGCATAGGGCAAAGGTTACTGGGAAACAGAATAGCCACACAGATGCAAAGTATCAGTCTCATGGATATACCATACCCAACTGATCAAAATTAATCACAACCCAGTGACATTGTGTGCCTCCTGATGTGATGAACTGGGAAAGACTCCACACTATTTGTGCAGAATTCTTACTGAAAATGTTCTTCCAGCATCTAATCAGGGAAAGACAATCAGACAAATCCAGGGCATGGGGCATTTTACAAGTTAACAGGTCTGCACTCATCAGATGTCAGTGGCAGGAAAAAGAAATAAAAAGGCAAGAAAGTATTCTAAAATAAGGCAGGTTAAAGAGTGTCAACGAAAACATGATGTATGAACCTTGACTAGATCCCAGATTTTAAACATGAAACCATAAAAACTTTCAGGGACAATTGAGGAAAACATCAATATGGGCATATATTTCATGTTTTTGAATTTTTAAACCAGAAATGGAATTACTTATTTAACATATTGGAAGGGAACTGTACAAAACTTTACAGCATCTTTAATGCATTGTCTTTTGACATACACTTTTAGTTATTTTAAACATACTTAAATGGAACAAATGTCTTAGAAACCCAAATAATAAGATAATCTTACTCCTTAAAATAATCTGTATTGATTCTGAATGATCTGAGAGCCTGGAAATAAATGTGACTTTTTTTTTAACGGTTTATAAATTTACTAGGTCATCTGGGAGACCAGATGGGCTGAGCCAAAAATGGAGCCAGCCGTGACTTTAATTTTCCAAGACTAAAGTCTTCTAGTATGAACATCTTAAAAAAATTTATTTTGCCCTTCACATATTTTCAGTATCTATACTAAGTATTTCCTCTGCCCCGTATGTGCTGCCTTAGTTCCAAGTTCAGTGATGGGTACATGCTGATGACTTAGTAAATGTCTGTTCAATAAGTTACTAATAATTTTACAAGTTAACAGGCATGTTTCTGGTACTTGGGTCTAAAAAAATGCATTTGCCTGGCTTTAAAAGTTTCCACAGTTACTGTTCCATTTCTTGTGAGTATTTCTTGAGTGGTATTGTGCTTATGGGTGTGAGTGTAATAGCCTTGTTCTTAGGAGATCAGCCCTAAGTATTCAGAGGCTGTCTGTCTGCAACTTATTTTCATATGATTTTGCACACCAAAAAAAAATGAACCGCAAAGTGTGTGTGTGTGTGTGTGTGTGTGTGACTACTACTACTAATAAGATGTCCAATGCAATATTTTTAGTCTTTGTTCTTGGTATGCTAAATGACAGGTACAAAATTTCTAAAATTCTTGAACTTTCCTGATTGATAGGCATGTCTTTTATTATCTTAAGGAGCCCCTTTTGAGCGTCCCTGAGTTTGTGCTAATGAGGTGACTTAGCCCTCAGATAGCCTCAGGATGAGCCTGGACACGAGACAGTCCAAGTGATTTGAGGGGCTAGAACTTTTTAACCCTCCCCACCAACTTCCGGGCAGGAGAAGGCAGGGGTGCAGACCAATCTTTATCAAAACACTGAACAAGAGTGCACGAGCTTCCAGGCTGTGGGTGCAT